AGGGTTGGCAAAAATTAAGGAAAATGTTGCAAATTTCTGATATAAGGGAGATTTGCGTTTAAGTGTTTGTTTACGTCTCATTAAGATCAGGTACTTTAAACAGGCATGAATGGATTCATTGCGGAGATTAAAAGTAAAATCTAGTCAAAAGGAGAAGTTTGAAAATCATATTGTTTCAAATATACTTCACCTTTAACATCTTTCTTATTTGGATTTCTACAAATATCAGTAGATCTGGCAGTAATGAGGATGTGAGTATCTCCAATATGGTTCACTGGCCAGAGCGGCACAGACTGGATGGGATGCACTAGGCCTTACCAAATAAAGTTATTCTTTCTTTTTAACAGCACCATGTTTCCTAATGCGCTTTTACGTGTCCAGTCAATGAGAAGTGGGAATCCCACTGTTAGAGTATACAGTGAAAAACGAGCGGTGGCTAATGACACCCAAGTTAGTATCTGATTTCAAGCTTTTAACATTTTCTCTAACCAAGGAATAGGTTTGAATCCTCAGTAGCTATATGCTACAACGTACTATATAGTAAATATAATATATCTTACAGCTATATTATATTTACTATTTACTGTTCTTTCTTTTGGCTTTCTGGAGGGCCTGCGTTTATTTTCAGAGAGGTCGAGTTATAGAGCAACCAAAAACCTAATACAATAAAAAAGGGTGTAATTTCAATTTAATATCTGCGAGTTTGCAATGTCTTTTTTCGTTTTTGTTTTGTTTTTTTGTTTTTTTCCCCCCTGGTATATCTCTTATTTTCAGCTTTTAGAAGTCCTTATATGGTACACTTCATGTAATCCCAAAATATGCTTCGATTTTTTTTTTTTAAGTTGGTGAACCTCAATTAACACATTTTTCCTTTGGTTCCTTAACCCCTAGAACCCTACGGACCCACCGGTGGGTCCAGCTGCTACGTGACCTCATAATTTTAACAAACCCCCAGTATTGATGTAAAAAACACATTTGGCACAGTTTGGTGACATTTATGGATAAATGTGCCAAAATGGCCTCTCCGCCTAAGAAATTTCTCACTAATACCATTCTAAAATAAATATGATTCATCTGATTGAGTCCATATTTGGTATATTTTTACACAACATTTAGATTTAAAAGTCTGTACTACTTTTTTGTGCTATAAATAATATTTTGGTAGTGTTTTGCAATGTTTATTTCAAAGAAAATTTTGGCGAGGTTCAAAAAATGCAAAATATTTTGTATTTTGTCCCTAATATTTCAGGCAGGGTCAAAGCTACAATGGTGCTGACACCAGAAAACCATTCTATGACATCTTACCTTTACAGAGGTACCAAAAGTTTCTTCTTAAATCTAATAGCTGTGACGCTATAAGTGATTTACTTTTGTGTGTTTTTGTGAGGCAGAAATTTATTTATACCCCCTGAGGGTGTAAGAGGTTAATTCTGTTGTTGCATCAATGGAGGGACATAAAAGTGCTCCTTTAAACATTTCTCTGATAAAGTGAAATAGCACATTTTGAAAACAAAATGGCATCATGTGGAAAGTGTCACCTAAATAGTAGGATTCTGTAACACCAGCAATATTTGCCCATGAAAAGGTCTTAAATTTGCTTCAAAATCTGTAGAAACCCTTGAAACACTTACTGGAGCCTGTACTTTATATAGATATACGTAAATGCGTAAATGTTTGTCCGATGCACTTTTCTTGTAAATGAAAAAAGGGGGGGCTGGTTTTCTCACCTCTTTGTCCTTCTATAACCTTGGCAGTTATGGTCACTTCTAAAATTGACTTATGATTTAGTGAATAACAGGGGTGCTGTGCATCTTGAAATATTAATATCTGCCTGCAGAAGGTTGCTAGGAGGTTGTTTGGGTTGATCAGGCATCATATTTCATAAGAGCAGCCTTTCCCCAAACAGGGATCTGAGCCAAATTCACCTGGAATAGCTTTTTATACATAATTCAATTCAACAATACTTATTAATCCCATGGGGAAATTAAATAACACTGTTGGGGGGAGCATAACAGTTGTTTGAAAAATGGGATTTAAGCACTGTATAATTATTTATCATCATAATTTATTAAAATCCTTGGCTACAAAGAAAATATATTAATACAGAGTGGTTTAGGGTCAGGGGTGAACAATGGTTTAATAATAATAAATAATAATAATATTAATGTGTACACCATGCAAGGAGAAAAGGGACAGCGTGTGGGTATGAATAGTCAGAGGGGCGAATGGACCAAATAAATGCACATCTGAAATATTTGAATGACATCCTCTCTTGTCTGTGTCCTTTTGAAGAGTCCCAGAGAGAGATTTTCCTCTGTTTGATGACATATTTGTTGTATTCTACTATTTGCTGAAACCAATAGTGGAATACTATCATGTTTTATAACCAACAATATAACAGAGACTCAGATAAAGTAAAAGTAAAACGATAATGCACCAGTTAGATGTCTTTTTAGTGAGGTGGGGTTTGACGGCCAACTGGCAATATTTTTGTGAAAAGAATATAATGAAGTAGATTTTTCCTAGATTTTCTGAGTAAATGTCTTCAAATAAAAGCATTTTTACAAGGCTTTTTGCTGATCTTAACATGTGAAAGTCATTGTGTGTCTTTAGGAGAAGGGCAAGAGCCCAAGAATGAATAAGGTGGAGAAAACAGATATATAGCTGGTGTTGACTTCATCACTCCAAGGCAATCAACATCCAATAAAAAACAGCATCCCAGTCAGTTCAGAAAAGAGCAAACCAGTTAAGACGTCCCTAAACCAACTTCCAACTTTCCATGTCTGCGTCCCTTTCTGTGGTCACCCTGCAGCCTCAACTGTGGGAGCACAAACACCAGGTGGCACAATGGAGCCAAACTGTGAGCTTAATTGCTTTTTGAAAATTTAAATGTTGCTTTTTAGCAGTAGTTGAAGTATTTTACTTCCTAAAGTTAAAAAATATACATTTTCCTTCATCATTTCAAATGATTAATATTTATGCTTCCTCTGAAATTATCTTAATGACTAAACTAGAAGAATTGTAATGGAGTCCAGAAATTAGCTTCAAAACATCTGCATGTTATCCCTGACATTAAAACTTTAAAGGCAGTATTTAACAAAGGTTACCAGCAGGGGAATGACTTACAATGAGGACTGCTGATTAATTTGGTATTTAGTTAGTTTGAACAAAAGCAGCATTGAAAAAGGTTCATCACAGTGTGAGATAGTGATTACATTAGAAGTTCCAGTCAAGACAATTAGATGGTGATCAGCCTCCCGACTGAATAATAACCTGACGCTGTGATATTTTTTTTCAAGCTTGGACCTAACAAATATATTAATTTTCAAAACATTGATTTAGATGGAAGCAAATGTTTAAATGCAGTAAATAAACTAACACTTAGCTTTCTTTATTCTACCTGGATTAATGTACAATTTAGGTGGTAAGAAGAGTCACATATTTAGATGTAAGGTAACACCTTTAACAAACTACATCCTTATGTGGCATCATGAAATAATCAAAATGCATAGATAAGGAATCTAATTCAAAGACCTTTTTACTGAGACCTCATAGAACTAAAAAAAGGAACATTCGGAGACAAAAAGGGAAAAGACTGCAAGGCTGAGGATGACTGTAGTCAAGGAGGGTTACATAGCCTGGTGGAGGTGTTTTGTTTCAGGAGGGACTGATGCATTGTAGGAAAATAATAATTAAAAAAGAAAATAATTAAACTTTATTGATCTTACATTGGAGAAATTTAACTCAGCATTTAACCCATCCCCTGGGGGAGCAGTGGGCTGCCATTGTGGGGCACCGGGGAGCAATCGGGAGTTAAGGGTCTTGCACAAAGACCCAGAGTGGCAGCCTGTGGGAGTGGGTTTCAAACTCACAACCTTAGGATTGCAAGCTCTATGCCCTAACCACTAGGCCATCACTCCCCACTATAAATAGCATCATGAGAAACAATAATTATGTAGAAAAGGTTGGAGAGTCTTGATGTCAAGGATTTGCTGGACTGACACTATGGGGCCAAATGAATGCAAACAAAGTCCCTAAAGCTTAAGAAAACAAAGGAAATATTTATATTCAATGATTATTTTAAGAAAGACAAAACTTAGTTCACACTACTCTGATATTTAACGTGGATCATTCTGGAGACACAGACATGAAAACTTTCGTCAGATTTAATAACTACACAAACTAAACTTGTCTTTTTATACAATGTAAGTAAATGTCTAAATTCACTTAAATCATTGCTGGTCACACCTGTGCATCTAGTCATAAATTTCTTTTAAATCAAGTTTGAACGTTTTAAAAAGGAAAATCATTACATCATCATCATTACATGCATTATAATAACTGTTCTTTACAGACTGTGTGATTCCACAGAAACTCTCCAATGAATACATCTCTAGATTCATCATCCAGTAAAAAAAGTAAAGCTTTTTAGATAGTTGTTTGATTGTTTAAAACAAATAGATAAACGAGAACATTGAAATTGATGAAAACATTATTTGTTTCCCTAAAATTAACCCAGATATGGTTTCTGCTCTTGGTTGTCATGCCTACTAAAGATTTAATTGAACAAAATCTGCATCAAGGTGATAAAAGAAAGAAATTTAGCTAAATTACAAAAACTATAAATCAGTCGCATAATATTCACACAACACACAGTGTTATACAGTGTATACTGTTATATAGTTTAGTTATAAATCAGATTGGTAGGCATTGTTAGTAAATTTATGGTTAAGCTCATATGAAAAACAGAAGGTTTGTTTTGTGAGGCATACAGGACAGGCTATCACAGTCATTAGATGGCGGTCTTTCCAGCCCAGTCCTCATTTTCGGTCCTCACACCTTCCAGTGGGTGAGGACTGCCCCTTCCTGCATCCTCAGGCCCACTGAGCCATGCTGACGGTTCCTTTGGGATCCCAAACGCTAGTGTGCATACTTCATTACACGTGTGCCTCTTTTCAGCCTCACACAGTGAGCTAATGTGCATCTCTTCATATTCACAGGCCAACCCTCCCCCCATAATTGTCAACGCAGACTCACTAGACGCAGGCCCTTATGTAAGTATCTCCTCTCGCTGCCTGCCGTACAGTAAGGATGAGTCTTATTCTCACTTTCTATGCTACGTGAACACGTTTGTATGTTTGCATGTGGATGAAAAGCCCCTCCCCCCCGGGGACAAATGCCTTCTGTTGAGAAGGCATTCTGCACCGTCACATATGTCATGTTGTCTGTTTGATATACTATGTGGAGAATGCATTCACTCTGTGATGTAAATAAAACATGTTGATTCTTTATGGTTGCAGATAGATGTGAAATGATTTTGTTCATTTCTCCTTCCTTTTTATTTTTATGAAGAAATCTAAATATTCATGATTTATAATGTAAATTTTTTTTGACAGGTAAATGGAAGTGATGGGATGTATAAATATGAGGAAATCATCTTAGAGAGGGTAAGTTATATGTATTTATTTATTTGAATTCATTTACTGCATAAAGGATTTCTCCCCACTAGGTGGTAGCAAGCAGCTCTTTCTTTGCCAAATGAGTTTAAAGAACCAGAATAAAACAGCTAAATCTTTATGTGTAAAATGCATTAGTTAAGGTCCTGCTTATGCATTAGTGCAGTATATGACCCTTAGGTGTTATGTCTCAGGTGGGTAAGAGGCGATGCAAATCTTTTTATGTAATGAAGAGCTTCGTGTCATCAGCAGACAGCAGAAATGTAAAGTGCTCTCCTGCCTCTTAGCAGGAGAGGTTCCACTTGAAGTGGGGAAACTATACATTTTTGCTTTCTTCCACCTCCATATTGATCGATCTCTTCAGTCTAGAAATATACACACTGTATCTCTGCCCTGTTTACTTTATAGTGACATATCTGCATATAGTGGAAACCTTAAAGGGTCTGTGGGTGTGCAACATTTGGTGGCTCGGTACCACTGCTCTGAAGCTACACACTGTGAAGCCTCAGCCCCCCTCTGTCCTAATTTGTTTCGACTGTTTCTCATTATTTATAGAAAATAATAAAGCGAAGTATTTTCTCAGCCGTCTCGTTTGCTGCCTATCTTGTTGGCCACGGCTGTCAGATGCAGCACCGTACCTCGGCCCACTGGATCCAAATGGGGCCTGTGTAATCATAGGGACGGGAATGGCAGGAGGTGGCAGTGTCTGTCTACTTTAGAGACTCAGAGGCACTTTGTCATGCAACAGAAATGGTGCTTCTTTGTGGAAACTGGGCTGTATGTATTATCTGTGTGCTGTACTAGATTAAAAAGCCCTTTTCTGTAGTAAAACACAGAAGGCTAAATGCTGATCATGACAGACATGCTCACCAACAGCATAGACACAATGTCTACAAATTCATAACTTCTTTCTATTACAGATGCAAACTTCCAGGTATTTTATTGTGGTTTTATGTGATGATAAAAAAAAAAAAACTTTGCGAAATTAAGAAACGGCATGTTTGTATCACATGTATTTGCATTCTGCCTTCTTTAATCTAAACCCAAGGTTAAATCCAGGGAAACCAATTACCCTTAGTTAGCTTCCAGCTATGTGTAATTTAGTCTCAGAATAAATGCTGTTCTATGAAGGCCTGAGAGGTTTGTTAGAGAATATTAGTGAACAAACAGCATTGTGAACCAAGGAACACAGCAAACAGATCAAGGAGAAATCAATGGAGGAGTTTAAAGCAGGGTAGGTTATAGAACAGCATCTGAGCTACAGCACAGCTGCAAACCCAACAGGACATGGTCATCTGAGTTAGTGGCAGAGCACAAGCTTATGGCCTGTGGAAAAATCCAACACCTAGGTTGGAAAATCTGCGTACCTGGTCTTACTTTTTAAAAAGGGCCTTCTGAAATCCATCAGCCAATGAGAAAACATGAAATCCCTTTGACTTGTCTCCTATTATGGAGGAGGTAGAGGTCACATTTCATTGTGATGATCAAAGCTTCACCGACAAATTAATGTGGTTACATTATTTAATCATGACGTTAGAATGTTTTTGATGGGAAGATGATCCAAGATAAACTCAGGACTGTAAGATGCTGCGGTAATAAAAACAGATGAAAATTCACCTTCCTGCAGAACAAAGCTTCTTAACATTCAGAGCTAGAATGGAATGTTGTGGAACTAAGGATATTTATCTATTAGAATGGTCAGACTTAAAGTCAATAAAGCACAAAAGTTAAAAAATTTTAGCATCCAATTGGACTGAGTTTAATATTTTTTGCAAAGCAGAAAAGGAAGAAAAATGTGTTTATTCGCTATTTTTTTAATCTACTATGCTGCAACAGACATGCCCCAAAAGACTGGGCATTGTACTTGGATGCATATTTTCCTTCCACTACAGCGTTTTTTTCACTTCTTTGTTTTTCCAATGAAATATTTGAACTTGTAGGTGCAATCTACCAAACTGAAATGGAAGTGGTATGAATTTTTATAGGCCCTGTAAGAGCTCCCATTTGACCCATTATACATGTGATTTATTGTTTTTTTTTGTGTGTGTCAATCCCATCCTGTTTTAGGGGAACTCTGGCCTTGGCTTTAGCATCGCTGGAGGAATAGACAATCCCCACATTCCTGATGATCCAGGGATTTTCATCACCAAGATAATCCCTGGAGGAGCAGCTGCTATGGATGGAAGGCTGGGGTAGGTTTACTTCTTTAACGCATTCCTCTCTCCCTCATTCATTCTTTTTTGCTCTTTTCAAGCTCAGCTGTGCTCTCCATCCATCTCCTGCTCTAACCTTTCTGCTCACATCTTTAGCGCTTACCAACACTGTGTCCCGCCAGGCAAGCGCTGTGTGGGTGGCAGAGTTTCTTCAGCTCTCTGCCTCCCAGCTTTGTGTGCTTCCTTAAACTGCAAAAACCAGAAGTCTGAGAGATGTAAAAAATTATGATATGGAGTGCTCTAGAAGTCTCTGATTGTATTAGCCCAGCTCCAGTTTTCCTGCCTTTGTACACCAAACATAGCGAAGGGCTGTTTGTGATGTATATTTGAACTTTTCTCAGGGTTAACGACTGTGTGCTGCGTGTGAATGACGTGGACGTCTCTGAGGTGGTTCACAGCCGAGCGGTGGAAGCCCTGAAGGAGGCGGGGCCTGTGGTGCGACTGCTGGTCCGACGGAGGCAGGCACCCCCAGAGACAATCCTGGAGGTTAATTTGCTGAAAGGACCCAAAGGTAAAAAAAAAAAAAAAGCCAAGCAAGCAATCTCTTCTGACAGAAATGCAAGCTCATTCACTTCAGAGGTTGCTAATCTATACATGCAATGTCTATCTTGTTTTTGGGTTTGCCAACAAGGACTGGGATTCAGTATCGCTGGAGGAATTGGGAACCAGCATATTCCTGGAGACAACAGCATTTATATCACCAAGATCATAGAAGGAGGAGCTGCCCAGAAAGATGGACGACTGCAGACTGGAGACCGACTGCTAGCTGTATGAGCCTTCACTTCTTTCAAGATAAAGTCCTTCATCTGCTTTCCAAACTAATACGCTTACTTAATCCCCAACAAAGTCTCGTTATTTCCTAAATGTACAATATTGTAAAGCTTAAGACAATTAGCTCAGTTAGGTAAATATTTGCCTCCTTACATAGTTTCTCTGCTTTTACTTGTATTTTGCCTAAATAAATACAGCCATGACGTGTTCAGATGAAGATTTCATTTATTAGGAGGAAAGGCTAACTCAGTCAGTCTGGATCTCTGTGGAAGTATAATTGCTCCCTAACCTCATAACTGGTTTTCATTATCCTTATTGGGACAATCACCCGCAGACATTTGCAATAACTTGCATGAGTCATTTACTTCACTATTAATGATGTAAAAAAAACATGCATGTGTGGGATTTGAACCCAAGCATACAAGGTCCGCAAGGAAGCAAAGCTAAAACTGCACCACCAGGCTGTTTTTAACAGCCTGGTGGTGCACCTGGTGGTAAAATCTGTTCTTTAATTTCTTTAGATCAAGGCTGAGTTGTTATTTTAAACATTTTAGAGTGTCTCATGAAGCCACCTAGGTCTTTTGTTTGTGTGTGTGTGTGTGTGTGTGTGTGTGTGTGTGTGTGTGTGTGTGTGTGTGTGTGTGTGTGTGTGTGTGTGTGTGTGTGTGTGTGTGTGTGTGTGTGTGTGTGTGTGTGTGTGTGTGTGTGTGTGTGTGTGTGTGTGTGTGTGTGTGCCTTTTTTAATCTCTGTGTCTGCTTGTCAGGCCTGAGTATCATTAGTTAGAAGAAGCAAAGGAAACATGTTTGATTGCAGATAACTTGATGATTTAACAAGGAGGCCATTTTATTTTGACATAAGACCACGCATTGGCCCTTAAATTAAATGGTATCTTTTTGGATTAAAAATAATAGAAAATTTGTTTAACGAAAAAAATATTTTAAAGCAAAAGATATTTGATACTTATGAGGTTTTACAGTTGACTGTTATCAAAGTATTTATTGCAAACATGCTTCAACAAGCTTAAATCCAACTTTAACTCAAGGTTGTATTCTATTCCTCAGTTTTATTAAGCCTCTTAAATAACAGGACTTTATCAAATAATACTCAATTTTGTTCATATAAAGGTAAATAAATTATCTTATTTTAAGACCTGCTGTTAAACAACAAATGGCTCATTTTATTTTAAGTCCAGAGACTTTAAGCTGCATCATTTAGTGACTTTTTTGAACTGCAAGATGAATTATTGAAATGCTAAATGGCTCCAGACAAACATTAGCAAGTCTTACTAATTCTTCTAATTAGTAAGTTCTAATTTAGTTTTTACTAAATATGAAATTAGTTTTTTATGAAGTAAAAAAAGACATAATGGTTTAGGAATTTCTCAAACTTTTATCATGTTTACCGGAATTTTCGGAAGCTAAATTGCATGATTTGTACATATACAAGCCGCACCGGACTATAAGCCGCAGATTTTTTATGTTTAATGTCCGTCTTTCTCGCTGTTGTTCTGTCTCGTACCATTTGCGGTAGAAGTCTGCTTCCGAAGGGACCTCCGCATTCCTCCGCGCTCAACTACTGTACTTGTGTGCTGAAGCAAATGTGATGTCAACATGGTGGATTGTAAAATCCATAGATTTAGGTATTACCCTTGTGGCCGTTAGCTGTAAAAGTCCATAGATAAGCCGCATTGTTATACTGCAAGGTCGAAAAATGGGGGAAAAATCACGGCTTATAGTCCAAAAATTATTATATTTTCTTTACCACAGAGAGGAGAAATACATCATATGATCTTGTAGTTAACATGACTATAACTGCTGTGGGGGTCGGTCATCAATCATGCTCTGGCTCATCCCATAGACAAAAACCCCAAACAGATGCATTTGGTTTAACTTATCAAAGGGTAACATGTTGAACATCTGATGCAGCTTCAGGAGCATGGTGAATTTTTATTCCACAAGTAGAGTTTTATCTCCTCCAATACCAGAATCTTTCTCGGACTTATCCAGGAGGATGCAGTTTTCTATTTTTACAGCTGCACCGTTTCTACTGTTTCTGCATACCTAGCATCCATAAACATGTTGCTTCAGCAATAACAAAACTATCATGTAAGTGATTACTCAAGAACTTCAAACTGATTTGTAATATTTTAGTATTGCAGCTTTTTTAACTTTAGTCAGTGTCAGATTTTTTTTTTACTGATGAACTCTAATCTCATAATACCTTCCAGCTATGAATCATTACTGTGTTGGTTGGTGTGATGGCTTTGTGATGTTGTCACAGCTCTCATTTTTTTCTTCTTTGATGCCCGACACATTCAGGTGAACAACATCGTGCTGCAGGATGTGCGTCATGAGGAGGCGGTAGCTGCGCTGAAAAATACCTCTGATATGGTTTACCTTAAGGTGGCCAAGCCAGGACCTGTGCATCTGAACGACATGTATGCCCCCCCAGACTACTCTAGCAGTACGTATCTACCTCGTTGTGTTATTTTAGATCTCCTGATATCTGGGACAAGGAGATGTTATTTGTTAGTTTTGGGTTTTTTCCTCTTCATCTGCAAAGTTTTCTGTTAAGAGTTCTGTTCTCTGCTCAAGCTGCATTGCCCAGACTCCCACATACTAAATGTAGTAGAAGCCTGCACACACACACACACACACACACACACACACACACACACACGATTTCTCCCACAGCAATGTTGAGCACAGTTCTCTTCCACCCACAGAGTGTGGATGGTTTCTCACATCCCACCTGCTCATGAGAGCCCACGATCTTGAGCTGCAGCTTCTCAAATTTCACCACAGCCATGATTTATTGTTATAGGAGGCCAGTGTGGGACTCCCATTGATTGTGGTTTGTCTTAATCTGTTTCCGTCTAGTCCTCAGTATAAAACATCTGTGGTTCTCCTTTGCATCTTTTAATTAGATGAACAAACCACTGGTTTGGACCAGCAGCCAAATCTGCATCCCAATACTAGCTTGTTTGTATTTGATTGGTCACTAATGATTAGTGAATCCTGTCACAAAAACACAAGCTAAATGAATTTGTAAATAAATCTTAATTGCAACTACCGGTACAAGGTTTTGCTATATGAGAGCAGCTGCTATGATGCATATGTTTCACATGATTACTTATAGTAGCCTATTCTAAAAAGTATCTAACAGTTTATACCATAAATTTTTTTTATTCACTTCTCAACATCAGTCTTTTTGACTCGTCATTTTCTTTACTAAACAAGGATCTTTAGATAAATTAAGACAGACTGTTTTCTTATAACCTACAGTTGAAACCAAATATTTTCATCTTAATATATAAAAAGTGTTCTATGATGAAATCTGTTGCAATGTTTTCCTGTTTTCCACTTTCCTCTCTTTTTCATCTGTGCCTCCATCAGTCTGACTCTAAGCATTTGTGTTTGATATGAACACCTGCTGCGATGAGTCTATCCAAGTGGCTAGATATTACATTAACATATAAAAGGCAAGTTCACAATAGTGATGTATAATATGGAATATCGTAGCCAACAATCGCTGCACTCGAAAGAGTACTTTGTGTTGTGAATGTTGCGCAAACTCATATTGCGAAATGTTTGTGACATAATGCACAGCTTTAAAAGTATAAATCATTTAGTATAATAATAATTAGTCCATCCTGTGGGACATTAAACCAGACTGAAGAGTTTTTGTTTTCGAGCACTTTGGATTATAACTAATTGATTAGTTTTACCATTACTTTAGGATTCTATTCAAGCTGCTTCAAAAAGAGAAGTTTTCTAAGTTTGATTTGGAGAATGTTGTATTCCTCTAATTTGAAAGGTTTATATGTAATAAACTTTCCATTTTAACACTTTTGAAAATGGCAGATAGTTATCTTATGGCTCTGTAAGGTTCTAATAGGTCAGTTCACACTATTTGAGTTTAGGGAGGCACACTATGCATTTAAACAGCAATATCATTCTATCCCTGTTTGACATACTGGGAAAAACCAAATAAAGTTTGATTAAGCAAAGATGTCAGTATGACAGTTATGTACTTTTTCAAACGCAAATATTAGCAGCAGGAGGGCATTCAGCTGAAATAAGTCAGGAAGGAGACAGATTCTGTGTTCCAGAAATCAACATGTTTTGGTGGGAAATTAACATACAAAATTCAGGTTCTAGCTTTGGGACAAAGGCAAGAAGCAATGTGAGATGTCATTATCCACTGTGGAAAGGGCCCTGACCCAACATGGGCTATAAGTCCACTCTCAGAGGAAAGGGGACGGACAGAAGTCTGTAAGAGTTGTAGTCTTCTTCCCTCAGTAAACGCCTCCTCACTGAAGAGAAGTGTGTCAGCATAAGCTGATCTGATTAGGTTAATTAAATTTCCATTTAAAAATACTTAATTAATCCAAAGGGATTATATCAAAGAAAATCTTTCCAAATTAGTTCAAAGGGTTGTCATGGATTAAATTAAAACTGTGGGCATCCAGGGTCGTCTGTACAGGTATGTATTGTGGTAGATCTGAAGAAGCCTCTGATTAAAGAAATATTGTTTATGTTTCATGTTTATGAAGAAGATGCTCTGGGTTTTACAGTATCTCCTTTGTTCAGTTAGGCATCTCTGTTTGCACAATCAGCTCTAAGAGTCCATAGCAGAACAAGACTTATTGTTAGGCTTTTAATGAAATGGCTCTGAGATTACTACACACAAAAGGAGAGCAAAGTTATAGAAAATATGCAATATATGTTTCTGTATTAGAAAATAAAATCAAACTTGAAGCTAACAATTCAGTATTTGGGATGACATTTAATGGTGTTCTGAATTGCAATATCTATTGTTGACAAATATTTGCATCCAGATGCCAATTTGGTCTGAAAGCCAGAAAGGGAGGCAGCAATATGATCCAGCAGCCATGTCTCAGTGAAAAGTCCAACAGTTAATTCCTAACACTTTGCCTGAGTTCTTGTCAGTGCTTTAAGATTTTTTCAATCTTAAAGCAACAGATTCTCACGCTCCTTATTCTGACTGATATGGGATATGACTGGAACTTCCTCTTTCCCTCTCAATCATGCAGCTTTTTATCTTCTATAGCTTGAAGGGAATTAGGGATCTGAGATGTTGGTCAGCTGCTGCAGCCTCTATGCTTTGTAACAAGTATTCAGAACACTATCACTAAAAGCTGCAGAGCATTAAATGTGTTTTCAAAAGGTTTTTAATCCATAGCAGGACTTAAGATCCACAGTTCATAAGTACCTTGTAAAAGATCAAGGTCAATATGAAGTAAATTCAGATTTTTTTTCTAGTCGTTCTAAGTATGTATCAACTTCCACAGATAACGCTGTTTTTCTTCCTGTGGCACTTGTTTTAATCATTCTTTCTTTCCCCCTACTGGCCTGGCCCTCCCTCCAGCCTTCCCCACCATGGTGGACAACCACGTCAGCCACAACTACATGGGGGCAATGGAGCCAAAACCAGTGTACCCGCCACCCCAGGTGACCCCGTCAAGGTACTCGCCCGTACCCCGCCACATGCTTGGGGAGGAAGACTTCACGAGGTAAGTTACAGAGCAGGCCGACCATGGCTGACCCTCTTTTTCTAATGCCGTCACAAAGCATAATTCTGATTAAATCATAACTGTGTTTGCCTGGCTGTGGAGCAAACCTGTTTCATGTCTTTAGGGAGTATTTGTATTTTGTTTGGATTAATTTCAGTTTGCTAGTGGCCTCCATTTTGTTTTTTCTCTACATGTATCATCATGGGAATTTTGATGATACATGATGGAACAGTAGTTTAACTTGACTGTTGAAAAAGAAATAAAGGCTTAATTTCCAAATGTCAGCTGATTGGGGCCGTGGCGGTGCATACTACATCATAGCTGGACAGCGTGCGGTGGCTGTGTGCTGAGAGAAGCTCCTTGTCACTTCTCATACTTGTTATGACTGTGTTTTAACCTTTGACTTCATATCCGACTAGTGGATCAGAAGTAGCATTCGTGAGGCCCTGATTGGACTGTCCCACAAGGCTTTGAGTCAGCTTAACCCAGAGCTGTGGGGAGGGAAGGCTGTATTCCCCCTGTGTTTATTGGTGTGTGTGTGTTTTCCTGTGTGAATGCTTGTTATGTTGCCCTGTTATGTCCTTGTACAATCTGTCCACATGAGCTGTATGAGTATTGTCACATCTTTGTTGGTATGTGTGCTTTTTTTTGTGTCCCACACCTGTCCCGTTCACTGTGATTCCTGTACCCCACAGCAGGGCTGAACCTATTTACAGTGTCATCCACAAACCTGGGGATAGCAAGGCGCCCCAGGCCCACTACAGAGGCTTCTGTCCTTCCCCTGCTCCCCTGTGCCAAGGTCCACTCCCCTTCTCCGGCAGGTACTAACCTAGTCCATGATGCCTTGCTTAGCTAACCCTCCTCTCTGTACCTCAGCATCTGGATCTGGCCTAAGACAGAGTAGAACCAGGACAGAGCAAAGCTTCCTAAACAGCAGTAAATACTGCCACAACTGTGTAATAAAACACACAATGATAAATAGACAGACACTGAGGATAAGAGAGACAAAAATATGTGAATGAGAGGGGAGGGTTGGAAGGGGTCGCAGGGTGATCTTTGTGATTTCCTGTTTTAGTTTTGTTTCTGTTTGCATGTGAATGTTTCCCCATGTGTATGCGACCGCTTCATGTTGGTGCAAAGTGTGGTACCTTGGAGTCCAGTCAGCAGCTTTCATAAACGCGACAGAGATTTCGATAACTCTGGTCCTCTGGGATGTCATGGAGTGGATGTTTTAATTAGTTTGATATACGAACTCCCACCTGTTGTTTTGTTTGTTTTTGCCCCTTGATCAAATGTTTTTGAGACAGTCGGCGAGCTTCTGGAGCAGTTCTTGTTTGATAAATAGCTAAAAATAAAATAAACCAGATTTTTGATCAAACTTCGTACGGTCAGATAATGATCATGCTTTGACCAGCGTCTCTTGTCCTCTTCTGTATTCTGGTTTGACTTTTTCACTTAATTTTCCCCTCTTCTGGTTTTTCTTTGGTTATCTTGGATGTCCCTATGTCTGGTCTCAATGCGACTGAAACTTTTAATCCATACACAGCTTCATCTTTTACTCAGACACCTGCAGCTTTTTGATCAGATTGTATTTAATTTTGACCTGATTAGGATTAGGAGTTGTACATTTTGTTTTCTTCCAATTCAGTTTAGATACAGGTCCTAAATATATAACAAATACCTTTAGAAATGTATGAACCTACAACCATTCCTACAGACAGACCTGATGTAACCAAGTCAGGTTTGAAGGTCGCCATAATCACACAGATCTTTTCTGCTCTACCAACGAATATTTCTTCGACTGAGATCAGGGCTTTTTCAGTATCTACTTTAAAAGACCTGTAACTGCCCTTATTTTGCTTCTACTAAACATAGAAAACACATATATATGACTCTACACTAGGAGCAAAGTGAGAAAAGAGAATTGGTTTTACATCGGGCTTCTTCTTTTAGTCTGCGCCAACGAACAAACTTCTTTCCATTATCAACTCTTGTTTTTCCTCGTGCAGGATCCCTTTCACGTCCTCAGGAGGTTTAAAGTTTTTCTTTGCCTCAGCCATGACCAGTATTCGAGCAGGTGGAAAAATAATAGAGCAAAAGCCTTAGCTCCATGACGATATAAGAGACTGCAGCCATTAAGCGATATGTTCTTCCAGGTCACATGACCTGGCCAATGATGGTGCGTAATCTCCGTACTTGCATAGTCGGTATTTCAAGAGGGGAGCCTCGCTTTTTAGCATTCATAGTGTCAAGCGCTGTGTATTGGCCTGAGGAATCATTTAAAATAACTCATATGTGTCAGCTCTTTAGGTCACAAAGTCCGTAGTGTGCCTTTGTTTATTTATTATAAGGATCCCCATTAGCTGTGCTTTACACCTAGCTACTCTTCCTGGGGTCCACATCATTAAAATACAGTATACAATGTAAATTCACGAACACGTTTGACAGATGACAAATATCATATACATATCAATAAGACTGAACATTCACAGAAAAGGGGAAAGTTACAATTGAAAATTGAAAATTTTAACATTTTCTGAATAAGTTACAATAAATTAGAAGATGAAACTATTTCATTTATAGATAAGTTGCTTCTGAAAACTTCTTAAGTTGCATTTTAAAAGCAGACTTATGTAAAATTTTTATGAGAATAAATGGAAATGAGTTCCATTCTCCATGCTCTGTAAGTAAAGGTGCATTTGAGAAAATTAGTTTTCGCCCTAGAGATTACAAATTATCCTTCAGCTGCATGTCTCGTGGCATAACCATGAGAGTCCAAATTATTTTTAAATTGAACAAAGAGAAACAGTGGACTCTGGAGTTTTAAGATTTTCAACGTTGAGAATAATAGCGAAGCTAGTGCCCTGTCATGAACTTTTAGCCAGCTTAGATTTGAATGCATGGTATTTATACTGGTCCTGTAAGAACAATTTAATGCTACACGGGCAGCTTTATTCTGCATTATTTGAAGTTTCTCTAAATCTTTTCTTTTTGCATTTGACCATATTGTTTGACAGTAGTCAAGATGAGAAATTATTAATGTTCTATCTATAAGCTTAGTCAAATCAGCTGGCAAAAATTTGCTACATCTTCTCAATATAGCTAAAGCTCTGCACATGTTCTTTACAACAGCTTCAGTGTGTCTTGACCAAAACAGTTTATTATCCAAATAGACACCAAGAAGCTTAGCTTCTGTAACCCTTGCTCAATGAGTCTGTTATTTATTAACAAATTTAACTTTGGGTCATGTTTTCTTTAAAGCCACTCTGCAGCTCATTTACAATATGCTTGTCCTTTCAAATGAAGCTGTTGTTTCCAAGCTTTACTGACCTGTTTGATGTCCAGAGATATTGCTTTGATGCTCTTGTATGATTTTTGTGACATGCTCTAGACTATCCTGGATCAAAACACCCACAAAACATAATGCTGCCAGCCCCACTACTTTTTGAGGACCAGACTAGCAGAGCTCCACAGTTCCTCCAATATCCTGCTCGTTCTATTTTTGCATTACGCAACACAAAGAAGTTTTGTGTATCAGGTGTTAGCCCACAGGTACGCCCACAGGCGTCCAATTAGGTTGTAATTTAATCTGAAGAGTACAGAGCCATGGCATACCTGTGCTTTCCCAAAGTCTTTAAAACAATTGTAATCTTCGTATATGTAGATCGCTGAATTTTAAGAAATAAAAAAGTCTCTAAACAAATACTTTTCTCATTAGAATAGAATAGAAAATTCCTTTATTGTCCCCAAAAGGGCAAATTCTGGTGTTTTTACAGCAGCAAAAAGATTATTGGAAAAAAAAATCGTCACACAAATGTGGACCTTAGATAAGTGTATAAGAATAACATAATAGTGAAGTTAAAAAGTAAACTAATGAAATACTATACTGTAAAGTGTTTTAACAATAAAATACTGTGCACCTGGAGAATAAATATCCAATATACAGCTATGAACATTTTTACAGTAATGGTTAATTGAAAATAGCAGCAACATCAGAGATGTGCAAAATGACAGCATCATGTTATTTAACTGAATAAGACAGAAACTGTGCAAAATCACCATGATTGTAACAAATCATTGAGATCGCTGGGAACAGTGATGGTTAAAGAGTCTTAGAGCTGCTGGGAGGAAGGATCTGTGATAACGCTCCCTGTTGCATTTAGGGTGCAGCAGTCTGTCACTGAAGGAGAGCTCCAGTTCTGCAAAAGCTTCATGCATGGGGTGGTAGACATTATCCAACAGAGATGTTAATTTAGTTAGGGTCCTTTTCTTTCCCACCAGAGTCCAGAGGGCATCCAATCACAGAGCTGGCCTTCCTGATCAGCTAATCCAGCCGCTTTCTCTCAGCTACAGATAAGCCACTGCTCTAACAGACAGCTCCATAGAAGATGGCTTATGCCACAACAGTCATATCAGGTATTTAGGAGCACCCCCTGCATTCCAACAGGCATCAGTCCAGTTTGTTGTTCAGGTGAACACCTAGGTACTTATAAGTGTCCACTATCTCAATGTCCCTTCCCTGGATGTTCACCGGTGTCAGTAGGATGGATCGTTATTCTGACATTTTATGTGATCTAACAGAGGAAACCGATGTAAAGTCTAGCAATGAAAAAATACCTGATATTAACTTTAGGCTGTGGATGAGTGAGTGAAACTTTGACAGTAGAACATGCGACAACTAATGCAGATGGTTTTCCAAAACCTTTAAAAAAACAATGAAAAAAAAACCTCAACTCCATGGCAATATATTTTTTTAATGTGGATCAGTGTTAAATATATTACATCATTATTTCTTTCTTTGGGATTGTGTAGTTGTCTTTGACCTCCCTCTAAATGGATATTTGAGCATCAAATTGCTTCAGATCCGCTTGCCTTGAATTCCAAACACGCTCTCTTTCAGCTCCAGCGTAAAATGGAGCCATACCTGTTCTTCACAAACACATCTCCGCAGGAGCGCAGCCGAAAGGGCTTCCTGCACCTACAAGCTGCCGGACTCCATC